CTCATCCACAGACGACTGGCTTTGGGCGTTTTTACTCCGTGATAAATATAAGGAGTGTGGCACAGCGGTTTATAGGCCTATGCTCATTGTCTACAAACTGTGACCAGCAATTGATACATATTCATTCTGCTGTTTAAAACAAATAAAGAAACAGTGTAGGAGAATGGTTATTATGCGCAAACAATAGGAAATTATCTATATTCGTGCAGTGTGTGCATGTCAAAGCTTGTGATGTGCGCACATCAACCCGATCGCTTTATATAGCGCTCATGTAAACACTACATTCAGATACATCAATCGGAATGAATTCAGTCTGACTGATACAAAAGTTGTGCATGTAAACATAATGAGAGTTGAACAGTTAAAAGTGACAGTTCAGCACAAAATAAAAATTCTGACATCATATACTCACTCTCACGGTTCCACATTATGTATAACTTTCTTTCATTTGTAAAAAGCAAATTTTGAAATGCTGCTTTTCTCTTTTTCTTCTCAATTTCATTTGCTCTTGTGTTTAAATTGGCCCATCGTGTTGTTTAAGAGAAACTCGAGAACCAATACCATTTGGTATTATAGTTATTAATAAAAAAAAACCTAAAACAAAAACTAAATAAAGACAAAGTTAACTGAAATAATAAAAAAAATTCGAACTTAAACTAAAATACATTTTCATGACTTTAAAACTAAAAATAACAAAACAAAAAACTAAATAAATAAATAAACTGGAACTACAAAAACTAAAACGAATCCAAAACTAATAATGATAGAGTAGAACTTCTGAAAATGAAATTATACTGAATAAAATAAACAACTAAACTAAAACAAAAAATGGGAGTGAACAAACAATGAAACATTGTTGAAAACAATAAGACAAAAAATAATAATAGGCTATTAATAATAAAAATAAACTCAAATACATTTTTATAACTCCAAAACTAAAACAACTACAATGGCAACAGAGAGACCATATGAAACTATAAAAACTAAAACTGATCCAAAACTGACAATGACAGAGTAACTAATGAAAACTAAGCTAAAATGAAAAGTCAAAAAAAATGAAATAACCCTGCATCAACCTGCATAAAACTTGGCTCAATGTGTCTTGACAAAATAAGCAAAAACAAATGAGATTAGGCAGCTTCAGTGGAAGAGAGGATTTTTACTACATTCACTATCTGTCTATTCGGTTCCTCACATGAAAGGACAACTTAGAACAAGTGTTTTGGGGTCTGAAAGTATGTTTCTCGTTGTATGGAAAATAACAGCTTAAACATTCTCAAAAAAAAAAAAAAAAAGTATTTTTTGAGTGCTCCACCAAAGAAAGAAAGTCATACAAGTTTGGAAGGACACGAGGGTGAGTGAATAATGACACAATACTCATATCTGGGTGAAGCATCCCTCTAAAATGAATGACTAAGTAAGGTCAATGGCAAAAACAGGAGTAGGAGGTTTGCAATATGTTCCCAGATTAAGACGGAAAGTGAGCAGAGAAAAGAGAAAGACAGAAAGAGAGGGAGACAGGCAAAGCAGACAGACCACATTTGCGCCAAGGAGTGACAATTGACAGCAGGGGCCACTTTGCCACCGGCAACCAATCCCCCAAGACCAGTCCTAAAGAGCAAGCAAACAGAAACCCCCCTTCCCCATGTCAATTCAACTTATACTAATAATAAACTCCGCCGTTTGAGCACCCCACCCCCATCCCTCCTGCCCCAGATCCCATTCCTTCAGAAACCTCTGCCACAAATACCCCTTTAGTACTTGGCTACAGTATTATAAGCCCGTTTCCCCCCAAACGCACTCGCACGCATACTCAAGCACATGCACTCGCATACAGAACCCGCACATCGTGTAGGACTCGTCCCTGCTGCTCCTCCCTCCTGCCCTGAGGGCTAAGCAGAGGAGAAAAGAGAGACACTGTGTGTCAATATGACCTTCATGCTTCTATGGTGTCTACTGCACAACCCTACTCTACAACCTACTGCAAGGGTATACTCTCCACCCTCTTCAGAAGTCATGCAATTAAGAATAACAAATATAAAGAAACTAAAGGGATATCCTATAAAATTTTAGAATGATGCTTTAAAGCAAGCCTTTGTGCTTTATATTAGTTTATATGTAAAGCAAACAATCAATCTTGTCTTGATGAAATTGATAATGAAGGAGTTTATGGGACATTCACACTGCAAGTGATCTGAAGCCACCTGAAGTCATTTCAACTTCTGGTCACATGGGCAGCAAATGACTAACCAGTATTTAACAGTATTAATTAATATATTGAATTGGCTTTTATTATATTTTCATGCCAGTTGAAGTTTTTGTCATTTTGTTATGGGCTTTTCATCAATTGAATTAGGTTCTTTTTCACATTTAGAATATTGCTTGAATTAATTAACTTTTTTTTAGTTTTTCATATTATTAGTTTAGTTTTAGTTTTAGTAATGTTGTTATGTGCTTGTCATTTTTGTTTTTTATATTAAGAGTTTAGCTTTAATTTACTTGTTTTCATTTTCATTTTAGTTGTTAGTTTATATTTACATTTTATATAATTATAATATATATTTTCATTTTAAAGTTTTATTAATGTTGTTATGTGCTTTTGTCATTTTTATTAGTTTTTTTAATATAAATAATTGATTTCTTATTTTTATTTAGTTTTAGTAATTTCAATACTCCAATGCAGCATTTCTAATTCTGTTTACATTTTCATCTAATATTTATATCTCATATTTATATATTTATTCAATTTCAGCTTTATTTCAATTGTCAAAAGAAATGTGTAATAGTTTTATGTTTAAATTAACATCAACAACACTTTTACAAAATTGTAAAAATAAGTGAACGTGTTATAAATGAACATGAATTCAAATATATTCACAAATGAACATGAATAAATATATGATGAATAATAAATGCTGTCAAAATTTGTTTATGATACCAAACATATTAACTAAATTTACCAAACCATATTGTAAAGTATTAGCAGTTTCAGTGATTAGCATGACGTTTGAAAGAGGATGCAGCTTCTCAAAGGCTTTTAGCATGCTGTGAATTAGCATGCAAAAGTCTAACAGTTACCTGTCCTGCATACAGCCATAAAACCTGAAGAAGTTTCTAAATTCATCCCCTTTAAAACCTCAATGCTACAGTCATCAAAGCACCGCTTTTGTAACGAATTCACAACCTTCAACAATAAATTCCAAGGCAATTACTGTCAAACTTCAGATTGCCTGCTGTGAGCAATGTTACCGTTATTATGCATAATCCATCTTCTTTTTATGTGAGAACTATGGTAGATTTGTGCAATTAAAGGTTAGTTATTTAGCTTATTTACTGAATATCTGTCAGCTTATTGTTGACAGTTTTTACTAAACTGTAAATTTACCAAATACACACACACAAAAAAAGGAAGACAGGGGTGGAGTGAGCAGTAGCCCATTATCATTTAAAGAGGAATTTTAACCAAAGTATTTTTTAGACATTTTATGAAGACCCTAAAGAATCATAACAACTTGTGGAAAATGGCCATCCGACATCCCCTTTAAAGGGGTCATATGATGTTGCTAAAAAGAACATTATTTTGTGTATTTGGTGTAATGCAATGTGTTTATGTGGTTTAAGGTTCAAAAAACACATTATTTTCCACATAATGTACATTATTGTTGCTCCTCTATGCCCCGCCTTTCTGAAACACATTGATTTTTACAAAGCTCATCGTTCTGAAAAGCGAGGTGTGCTGTGATTGGTCAGCTATCCAGTGCGTTGTGATTGGCTGAATGCCTCAAGCGTGTGACGGAAATGTTACGCCTCTTACCATACTGTGATGCCGTGTCCCGGTGCGACAAGACAAAAACAATAAAACCCATTTCAAACGAGGCATTTGTTGTATCCAGTGGGGACATAATTACTGATTATAATGACTTATACTGTCTTTTTACGCATTGCGTTGCGTATACATAAAACCATGTCTGCATTTGTGATCAGAGAAAAGACAAACAGCAAGCGCTACTCTACACTGCTCAAAACTCGCATTTGAATCATCAGTGGCAAATCCTTTAAATATGAAAACGTACTTACAGGCTGCGAGTCAGAAGCGCCAGACTGTCCTTGCAAAGTTGGAACTGCCCCACTTTATAGAAACAGACACCGGCATTGTAGGCTACTCTCACAGGAAACAGTCCTCGTCCGCCATACATTGCGCTGCACGCATCTGAATATTTGGGTTGAACTGTTCTGGAACAGTGTTGTAAATACTACTTAACCACTGATTTCTAGTTGTGTCCTCTTTTGGAAGGCCAAATAAAGTAGTTTCGCTTTCACAGCTAAACACACAGCGGCTCCACAACATGGCGGCAGCAGCAACAGCGAGAATAAAAGTTTCGCCTTCTTTCTTTGCGTGAACATTTGGGCAGCATTATGCAAATCTTCCCACATAGTGACGTAGGTATGTGGGGGCATGTTAGAACGAGCCGTTTTAGGTAGGCGTGATTGACTCTTAACTTTTATAAAGAATATCTCTTTGGATTTGAGACTTTAGTCTTTGCAACTTTACAGATCTTCTTTATGCACCAAGAGCTTGTAACATTTCAAAGAGAAAGGAAAAATTGAAATCACATCATATGACCCCTTTAACATAGTGGCTGTTTATGCAACTGGCACCTGAAGTTTGGCTTAATATGAACAGTATTTGAACGTATAATGAATGAAGTGAACATGAAATGTGGGTTGAATCTGAATCCCAAACAGTTTGTTATACTTTTGGTAGGTTAAATTTTCTACTGTTGGAACGCCAACAAGCTTTCCTGATTAGAGATATCCCTTTAGTTTCTAGCATTGAAATACATGCCGTTAGAGAGATTATCTTAAAAACTGAGATGGTAAACACGTATATCTTCGAAGGAACCATTGCTCCATGGCTTTGGCAGTGCGTGTACCACTTATCTTATCAGTCCAGTCCTGAGTCCAGGTTAACACGCAGATTCCAGAGGAACTTTTCCGTTTTAAAAGTTGACTGCTACAAACCCAGGGACCTGAGATCCTCTCCTTCTCCCAGCGATGGCTGTCCAGCTCTGGGTAAAGTTCTAGGGGTGTGTGAGATGTGTTGGTGATGTTGCGGAAGAGGCGTCTCCAGGCTTTGTGAGCGGGTCCGAGCGACTGCGCTGTGTGGAGAAAGGGTCAATAACGGCTCTCTGAATCTGTCTGTATGGGAGGAGGAGGAAAGTGTGACGGGAAAGGAACTGGGAGACGTGGTGGGGCAGACCAGCCGCAGATCTTGTGGTCTGAGCGGATGGGACACAAGTCCTCCCGGACGTATTCCAGAGTGCATCGGTGAGGGAAAAGGAGGGCTGGTCCAGGAAGAACCATGGGTCTGGAAGCTGATAGAAGGTGGTGGATGTCCCGAGGTAAACGTGGATGTACAGACACCTGGTGTTTGAGGAGAGGCCATCATGGATTCGATGAGAAAGGCAAGACTCCGCATGACTCGTCCCAGCTCAGCCACCTCCTGTCCAAGAGAGCTCACCTGTAATACATAAACAGGTGTCCTTTACATGCATTAGAAAGCAGAGATGTTTGTGTTTTGTCATTAGGGATCCATAGTAGATTTAAAAGATTCATTAGTCAGTTCATGCCTATAATACAAAAGCAACAGTATTTAAAGTGGGTAAGTTGTTATTTCTCTTTACAGGGAGCACTGATGATGTTGGCATATTTAGAGTAGAGACAATGAAATGATTAATGTTTTTCAGCACATGATTAATGTCAGAATTTCATTAATGGAGGAATGCTGAGCAGTAGTGGTGGATTATAAATACAGTATATTACTATGATATTCTTTCTTCACAATAGAGAATCACTGACTGAGGCTACTGCAATGTTCAGTATCAATGTCATTATTTTGGATTTCAAATGGTTTAACATTTTTGTCAGTTACAAAATAAAGTATATTTTAGTGATTTTTTAAATGCAATTTGAATTAATTTCTTTTTAGAATATAACATTACATAATACAATCTTATGACAATTATTTTGATACATTAACATGCGTTTAAAAAATGTCCATTATACTTGAAATGTGCGGCACACATTTATTTGTTCATTTAAAAATTATGTTGGAGAAAATAAATTTACCCATTTTTAAGGTAAATTAAATATTAATGATGGACACAACATTTAAAGGGTTAGTTCACCCAAAAATTAAAAAATTAGTCCATAAATTACTCACCCTCAAGTCATCCTAGGTGTATATGACTTTCTTCTTTCAGACGAATCCAGTCGGAGTTATATTAAAAATTAGTACTTTATGGGCTAATTTTCATTTTTGGGTGAACTAAAGCATTGCTGCTGCTTATTAAGACTCTTTGTGTGTTCTGTATGCACAACATGAATCTTTAATTGGTTAGGATGGTTGATGTTTTAACGCCATTCCAGAATCCTTGGCTTTCTTTATGGAGTTAAAATAGTATAAAAAGCTATTTAAAAACCTGTTTTTTTTAGATAAAATTCAGAGTTGACTGTTAAAAAATTTCTGTGAGTGTTTGCAAAGTAATATAATTTACTAAGAGAACTTATCACAATTTAATAAAAGATGTTTAAGAGATCCTGGACTCTGGCACGAAGAGCATATCGGTAGATGAATCTTCAATTCTAAACATTAGAATTTGTAATTTATATTCCAGTATATGAAGACCTCTTAATCTTAAGTATTTTCAAAAAGGGGTGCAACAATCAAGAAAACAAAACAAAACAAATAAAAACAGTTTCCCACAGCAACAGAACAGGCCATGGGTTATCCTTCTGCATCCACCCATCTGGCATTGTCTGCTAGAGCCAGCAGCTTTCAGGTGAAACTGAGGCATTATTTATTTAGGTCCCATGGGACATCATTGTTCATTGTTGACTTATTGATATTTAGTTATTTATGGGTTCTCTTTAAGAAAGATCATTACTTATAGTCCCTTGTGTAAATCCTGATTATTTCACACAGGGTCTATGTGAATATTTTCTTTCTCGGGTTCTTTTTGTGTTTTTTGTTTTTTTGCTTTTGAATCTGGGTGAAAGGTATAAAACCTAAACAAATGAATTTACATTAAATAGAACAACAAATAAATAAATACATCCTAATTTATATAAAAAAGTTGAGAAACATGAAAAACAGCAACATAAAATTTAATCTTTCAATAGCACGGGCTTGAACGTTTTAAAAATGTGTTTATGTACAACAATGCTCATACTATGCTAAATAAATGCACTTTTCTGGCTATTCCGAATAAAACTAAAAAAAAAAGTTGATTGGCTTTATGAGTGGAAATTACTTTTCAGGTATAAAACCTAGAGTGATGATTTCTCCAACTGAGTTTTCTAGAAGTGCACTAACGCTTGCAATTATCATGAAGTAACCACAGCTCACTAAATTCAATTAGGATTCCTATAATTACTCTTCATGTGTATCTTTTTGCACTGTCTGTCCTCTATAGACATCCCCTAATAAGCTCAGAGTCATAATGTTCGTGACGGTCCAGAACATAGCACAGATGATCCAGATTCAGATGGACACAAATTTGGCAGTCACCCTCAAAATCATGCCAACTAGTGATAATACCAAATAATGAGGGTAATTGGGTAATGATCCATAAATGCCATCAGAGGCAGGGAGGTACAAGACAACAGCTTCAAACAGGAAGGGACAACAGGAAGAGAGCACTCATCATCTTGGTGGACCGAATCAAGCATGGATTACAACAAAAGCCTGCTGAGAGGCCGGCTGTCAAAAATATATAGTGAGATACAAGAGACAGAGACAGAGATAGAGAGGAAAAAATGAGGAAGAGGCTCAGCAGCAGGGCATCCCTCGCACGACATGTCAAAAGCCACAAGTCAAAGCCGTGGGCTGACAATCAAGACTGTGGGTTGTCACATGGATTTATACCCACGCCAAAACTCAGCTGAACTACAGTTCTCTGTCAGTGTCCGATATGGACTCAAATATGTGGTAAGAACTGCAGAGGTAATTAATTAGTTAATTTAGGATTTTGAGAATATATTACACCGGTGGAAAAACATGGAAAAATACATCGAAATCTTCCAGCCAAACTGACAGTAAGACTTCTAAATCCTGATGTATTTGTATTAATTTAATTAAATAATTTCAATGATTAATTTACATAATTGCTCAAATATAAGTTCCATTTTGCGTGCTTTAAAATGTATTTATAAAAACTGTTATATATTAAATTATTAATATTTTTTAATATAATGTAAATAATATATAATACAATCTAACGATTACATATATATCAACATTCCTCAAATAAACATCTTTACAAAGCGCCTTTGAATTTATAATGAATTACACAGAATCATGTATATGTACAATACGTGGAAACCACATGCGGTGGGTTCAAGGGCATTGTGGAAATCTGTAATGTTGGAATGTTCTCTTCCATCATCATGGGGCCAGTCCCACTTTCCTCTTCTAATGAGTTTTATGTCCTCTAGTGTTTGAATAACATCCCCTTCTCCTCTCTCGCAGCAGCCCGCCATATGGCCTGTGCATGCCTGGCACCAGGAGCTCACCTGAGCTGGGCTGGTTTCGATCTGTCAGTACTCACATTTAGTGCAGAGTTATCATCCATAAAACCCACAGTCCATTTGAAGACTTTCCAAATAAACTGTAAGTGCAGACCTACCATTAAATTACACAGCAAAAAAAAATGACATAAGACTGACAGAGATTAAACAGAAAATCCTTTACCTCTTGGTTAAGGTGGCGTAGCTGTCCTCTGGTGTCCTCTGATTTAGCTGCTAATTCTGCACAGAGAAAAAACAATTATGTCTAACTGCCTCACACTGACAGAACACACTCACACCAGTGAAAACTCATTACAAAGACTTCAAGGAAGAGTTCACCACAAAAATGAAAATTCTGTCACCTTTTACTTACGCTCACGTCTTTCAAAACCAGTATGATTTTCTTTCTTCCAAGAAACAAAAAAGGAGGTATATGTCTAAGCTGCCTTCTTCATATGAAAATAAACAGTGATTCAAAATGACAAGGTCCAAAACAGCTAAAGAACAGTCTTCTATACTGCATTGTGTGTGGAAAAGACCAAAATTCAAGACATTATTTTAAATATTCCTTTAAAGAAGTAGTGAAAATTTACTCACCATCAGGCCATCCAAGATGTAGATGATTTTGTTTCTTTATCAGACAGATTTGGAGAAATTTAGCATTACATCACTTGCTCAGCGATGCATCCTCTTTAGTCAATGGGTGCCGTCAGAATGAGAGCCAAACAGCTGATAAAAACATCACAGTAATCCACATGACTCCAGTACCTCAATTAACATCTTGTGAAATTAAAATGTGTTTGTAATCAATAAAATTAATCATTAAAACATTTTTTAACTTTAAAACTTTTTGCTTCCAGCTAAAATAGTAAGATAGTCCTCTAACCATAATATTGCTTTCTCCAGTGAAAAAGTTGTTTCATCTGAATCAGGAGAGAAATATGCACAGATCAAGTTCCATTTATGAGCAAAAACAGTCCAAAACTAATCTGTCGGTGGGTTTTGATGTGAGAAGACAATAGGGATGGACTTTTTCACTGGATGAAGCATTATTATGGATTATTGACTGGTATTTTGGCCAGAAACAATGGTTTAAACTTAAAACGCCTCAATGATGTATTTGTTTCTTACAAGCATGCAGCTTTTCACTTTATAAGATGTTAATTGATGAACTGGAGTCATGTGGATTACTGTGTGGCACCCATTCATCCATTGCTGAGCAAGTGATGTAATGATATATTTCTCCAAATCTGCCCTATTGAAGAAACAAACTCATCTACATCTTTAATAGCCTGAGGGTGAGTATCTTTTCAGCAAATTATTATTTTTTTGGGTGACCTATTCCTGGTGATAGTAAATACTTTAAATGGTGTTATCCTTCATTGTACGTCAGCCCTGGAATATTGGCATAAAGATGAAAGATGCCAATATTCATCGACTCATCCATCCTCTGCCAACACACACATATGCACACACACTCACTCACACACCTGCTGTGGTGGCAGTGGTATTAGTTGCACCACTAACAGTGTGCTGATGGCCAGAGGAAAATATGAATGTGTGTGAATTTTCGGTACCATCACTGTCCTCTGTGCCATCCACGACCCTGAACACACACAAACAGAAATCCACTTTACTGCTCTCACAAGGTCCTTCATGCACCATTGAGCAAATGTCTATTAAAATACTGCATCTTTGAATGTTTTTTAAATGCATGCATGTGTGGGCGTGCGCACACCTTGGGCTGAGATTTGCGAGGTCAGGCTTTGTGACAGTGGTATGCTGAATGTGAAGCTTTTTGTTGGCTTGGTGATCGTTTTTCTGCATGTGCATTTTCTGTTTGGTTCCACTGCTGAGATACTGTATCTGATCATCTTCATCATCATCATCTCCCTCATCTTGATGCTCGGCTATTTGTGAATAGCACTGGATCACGTCTCCATTTCCCCTGCCCTCCATCTGTGATTGGACAGAGATAGCACTGAGGTCATGCGAGGCCAGATGAAAGTTGGATGACTAACCTTGGATGACTCAAATAGAAAAAGATTGACATTTCATTATTAACAATGAAACAAAAATAGATCTAGTTAATGTGACAGAACAAGAAGAACATCTAGTTAATGTGACCGTGTTTGCTTGCTCCTAAAAAATTTATTTCTAAGCAATCATTTAGGGGCTTTTATGTGACATTTAGATAATTTTATGTCGGCCCCACATTTTCCTTGCCATCTTCTCCTTATCAAATGAACCAGTAAATAATTACATAAATGCTCGCTCTCAAAAGAGAAGGCAGGTTTATTTAGATGGAACACATTTAAATGGGTCCTATTATGCTTTTACAAAGTCTTGATTTTGTTTTGGGGGTGTACTAGAACATGCTCTCATGCTTGGTGGTTCGAAAAAATCCATTATTTTTCACATAATTTACATGATTAAAATACCTTTCTTGCCAGCCTGGCACAAACGGCTCGATTAGTTCTGGGTTTAATGAAGGCCCGCCTTCCGAAAAACGAAATGTGTTGTGATTGGTTAGCTGTCCCAATGCGTTGTGATTGGCGAACAGCTTAGACGGTGTTTCAGTACTGCCACGCCCCTTACCAAAACAGCAAGTTCCATCTATATTGCCATATCAATTTGAGCCGGATTCAGACCCCGAGAATATTGAACAAGAGTATCGCGCAGAACCTTTGCATGCATGGATATTGCAAGACAAATTACAGTTGTAACGTTTTTTTGGCTAAATCACGTTTTAGATACAATGTCAAATAAATTGCAACCACTGTTTCCTGACGTTGTCCGCTGTAGGAAGGCAAAACAAAGACGTTCGGACACGGGGGTGAAAAAAACCGCGTTTCTTCGACATGGCAAATTTCTGTAGGCGGGAATTATTTTAATGATATTCTAATGTGCCGCTTTGTGACATCACAAAACCCGGAAAACAAAACTGTAGTCCAAACGAGCCGTTCGTTGTAGTACTTGAAAAGGGATTTTTTCAAAACAATATGTCTCCCTTTGGAGTGGACTTTGAGATTTGTAACTTTGTAGATCTTTTTTATGCCCAAACATACACACGACTACACACTGACTAAAATTCAAAAAGTGAAAAAGCATAATAGGATCCCTTTAATAAACAATGGTAAATAATGCAAAATGTTTTTCACAGATTTTATTTTTATAGAGAGAAAGACTAAAATACTGGGGGTGTGATTATTTGGGTTGACAACAAATTGATTTGATTCAAAATTCACTGATTTGATTAATTTTTTAAAAATGCATTTACAGGAATATAACAGAACATCAAAGTAACAAACTGGCAAATTTATATCACCATAATGGCATATAAGAAAAAAAAAATCTGAGAGTTTGTATGGAACAGAGTGTATGATATTTCATTTATTTGTGCTTTATTAGAATTACTGTAATTTTTTTATAATAAATTGGAATCATTACAAGTATTTACATTTATTAATGTGACATATTATTATCAATATTAATGTTAAATATTGTACATGACTCAATTTTAAATTGATTACTGGCTAACACAAACAATTAAAACATTTTAAGACAGATGCACATGAATCGGAAAGATTTTTATTTGATACCATCAAAATAACTACTAAGGAAAAAATCCCAGTAATACTAAATAAATAAATTAACTGATGAATGAATAAATGAGTTAATTAATTAATAAGTTAATGAATAAACAAATAAATGTAGAGATAGATAGGTAGAATAGATCTTAGTCAGAGAACGCACAACAAGCACATTGGTATGTACAAGGCGGGTACCACTGGAGTACACAAACACACACACACACACACACACAAATGAACACTCTTAAAAACAAACTACACAATTTCCCTCAAGGACCAATTAGACAAACGCTATGAAACAGCAGAAACACAACAAAGTGAATGTCCTTAGGTAAAACTAATGTAATGGTAGTGGTCTTACCACTTGAACTTTGACCTCGCTAGCAATGACCTCAGGAAGACTTGACCTGTAAGACATTTAAAACAACTGGCCTGGCAGCTTTGATAATATAATGATCTTTGACCTCTAGTCATACAAGTGAGAGTGATTATGTCAGAACAAACCCTAAAGGCTCGACTGTATCTGCTCAATAATAGTCGTTGTAATAGGTTTCGCTGTGCTTTACACCTCACGGCTCTCACGCGCATTGCCAATTACACAGTGAAACTCTGCAACGACGTTGGCTGGAAATAACAATCTCCATTTATAGAACACTTTAAATATCAGTCCACTGAAAGGTGGAGGAAAAGTCAAGAGGTAAAACAGCAAAGAGGCAGAATAAACGTGAGGGGTATTCCCCATCTCTCTCTCTTTTAATCTCGCTCTCCCTCTCTTCTCTTCTATATATATATATATATATATATCACACTGTAATTGAAAGAGCGGCAGTTTCCCAAAGCAGTCAGTCATCCTGCACTTCAATAACCGCCCGCTCCTCCTTTTACCCCTCCCTCGCCCCTAAACGCACTGTTCCCCTTCCTCTAGCACCGCTCCCTCCCTGATTACTGCTTCAGGCATGGAAGGACAGGGAATGGGGAAGATGATCATCACCATCATCATCAATTTTTCATTCTCTCTCCCTGCTGTTTCAGCGCTGTAGTGTTCTTAGCTTCCCTCATTAGGCAAATGAGGCGGGAGGTAGATCATTGTTAGGGAAATGAGCCCCAAGCTATTATAGTCAACACAGCACTCTTAGTGGATAAGTGCGGAATGATTGACAGCTGAGGAGAAGACGCACCTGTGTGTCCATTGACTTACTGGACATCCTGGATATGACCTGGAAAGTGAGACATAAGACAACATGTAACATGTTAATATGTATATAACATGTTAATATGTATACACTACTTTTCAAAAGTTTGGGGTCAGTTAGATTTTTTTTTAAAGAAGTTAATTTTATTCAGCAAGAATACATTAACTTGATCAAAAGTGAGAGTAAAGGCATTTAGATTTCTATTTTAAATAAAACCTGATCTTTGAACTTTTTATTCATCATAGAATCCTGAAGAAGCATGCTAATTGTTTTTTAAATTGATAATAAGAAGAAATATTTCTTGAGCACCAAATCAGCATATTAGAATGATTTCTGAAGGATCATGTGACACTGAAGACTGGAGTAACAGCTGCTGAAAATCCAGCTCTGCCATCACAGGAATAAATTACATTTTACAATATATTAAAATAGAAAATGTATCACTTTGCGTGTGGGGTTAAAAAATATATTATATATTGGAGGATCCCAAAAACAATATTAACCTTGTGTCCATGAAATCAAATAACCGAATCAGGTTGTGATCAGGTCAGGCTTTTACTGCTACAGAAATGCATTAAGGGTTTAGGCAACCACAAACAAATAAATGAACGAGAAATTCTAAAATCACAATGGTAATGTGATGACTTACATGGCTCTCTTGTCCCTCTCTCAGGTTGTAGGTGAGGTCATGTGTTATATCCTGCACAAAACGGTGGGAGTATTCAGGATACAGGTCGAGCACCTCATACAGACCCCTCAGATTAATGCACTGCAGGTCACAGTACGTCAGCGCCTTCACGTCAGCGTTCGTCTTTATCACACGGTCATCAACTGACATGTTTGCACCAATCAGGTCGCCTTTACCTGTACATGTCACAGGAGGACACAAACAAACTGGAAGATGCAAAAACACAAATCACTAGGAAATTGCAAGAGTATTCATTCAGTGTGTCAATATGTAGGCAAAACTGGAAAGCTAATCTGCCATGGGTTCCCTTAGGAGTATGAGGAATGTATAAAGTAGAACAGAATCATGAAAATGTTTCCAAGTAATGTTAACCACAGAACTTATTTTACTTATAAATCGAAAACTGCTATTCTTAAAATCCATTAGAGTCTCCCAATGGAAACGTGGCATGAAAATACTCATTTGTTTAGCATTTTAACACTGTGGGACTACACACATATCTATTAGAGGCACAAAAGATACTGTTTAAGAAAGCGTACACACATGTAAATACACAGTAACTTGCACAAATGAACCTTCTTGAGAACTCAATGTCAGAGAGACCTTCCTTTGTCAGCAGGGAGAGAGTGTGTGAGGGAAAGATGAGAAAGATAGTGTGTTTCTTCCTGTCAGAACTCATAAGGTGATATTAACACAAACACACACATGCACACACACACACACACACACACACACACACAGGCAGGACCTAACAGGACGATGGGGATAATATTTTTTCGCACATTTGGTCCACTGTCCTATGAGCCTGCTGTGTGTGTGAAGCCTCACAGAGAGATTGACCAATCACAAAGAGCAGTTTTTGTTGGCAACTGTAGGAAGACATGGGCCCTGAATTCTTCACTTAATGAGAGGCAGTCATTTTTTTCCTTCATGCTAATTCCTCAGTGGACTAACACTACACTGAGCTTTTCTGAGATAAATCTCTTTTGCTTGTGTGTAATTTGTGTGTGTTTGTGTACACTGACCAAGAATGGCTAGCACCATGCTGTCCTTCAGCACTTCCATGGAGCCGGAGCAGACAAAGAAAAGGGCCTGTAAAGCATCTCCCTGACGAAGAAGGTACTCGCCCGGCGCACAAAACGATGTCTTAATGTGCAGGGAGAGAGAGCGGAGACATCCACGACTCAGAGAGGAGAAGACAGACAGCTCTAGGATCTCTTTATTCAGATGCATCGCGATATCTGAACGTAGCTCATCTGGAAAGTCTTTCAAGAGCTGGAGAGGGAGTACAGGAAGGACAGAAAAAAAAGGGATATAAAAAAGGAAATAGACCACGAATGGGAATGAAAATGGGAACAGAAAAAAAGAATAAGGGACAGAGAAGAATAAAAAAGAAAGGGAGAATTAAAGGGGAAAAAACAGAAAAAGGGAAGAGGAAAAAGAAAAAATGAAAAGAATAAATCAAAAAGAAAAAAGAGAAGAGGAAAAATGAGAATGAGAAAAATGCGAGGACACATGAAAAAATGAGCGAAAAAGTGAAAAGAAAATAGAAAAGAGAAAATGAAAAGTGAAAGAAAGTGAAAGAAAAAAATGACAGAAATAAGACGGAAAAAGGCAAAAGAAAAAAGAAAGGAATAAGAAAAAGAACAAGCAAAAAAGAAGAAAGAAAATGGAAAATAAAAATAAAAGGAAAAAAGAAAGAGTCTTGTGATTTCTATGTGAACTTACGGAACAGGACATTACATTTATTAAACTGGCATTAAAATCATTAAGCATGCCACTTTATGAGTTTTCACTGTTAAAACAAAAACTGGAAGTATTCCGGCCATGCCTCATTCCTGCCCTCCGCCACCCTTCATCTGCTCTGCTCATCCATCCATATATGCTACCATCCTTCAGCCTGACTGAATGGCATCTGTCACTCTCCCCTTCACTCACGGCACACATATCCCTCTCTTTCTCTTGCTCTCTGTCTTCTGCTCTCCGGCCATCAGCCTCGCCATCTATTATTCATAAATCTGTGATTTAGCAAGGTGTTTAGATTCCATCTAAATTTTTTCCGCTCTCTCCTGACTCTGGAATAAAGTCCCGGGCTCAAGGACGGAGAACAAGCTGTCGTTCCCTCCTCAAGTGTCCAACTGTCTATCTAAATTGGCCTTAGCTGTTGCTTTGCTCTTGGCTTCAGTATGTTACTTTATTATTAGTACATCATTTACAGTACCATGGTATAAAAATTTATGTTTGGACATGATACCAACTACAATGTTATGTAAATATGGTAATCAGAGATAGACCGATATTGGTTTTTAAAATGTCAAACTAGAATATCAAAAAATTTTAATTGTTTATTTCTGCTTTTGATGTAATAATTCTAAATTATCATTAGACACTAACAATTAAATCACTTCAAAATGAATAATGAAATGTATATTATTGCATTAAAATACAATAAGTAAGTTAATTTTTTAGCCTTCCTGATAATGTTTGGGGTTCAGACACTCTCTGTTTAAATCTAGATTAAAGACACATCTCTTTAGCCAAGAATTCACATAATGTATCTCATAACCCTGTACTTCAGTTACATCTGATCAGATGCACATTAACATTCTTTTGCTTGGGTTGAACACATAATTTTTTGCTTAGTTGGAACAGCAGCTAAGCTAATTTTTCTCTATTTCCTTCTCTGTTTCTGCCACGGGATTGACATCCCGTGGTAACTAGGAATTACACAAGCTTCAGTCTGGATCCAGCCCTTACAAAGACCTGAGATGACAGAACACCTGAGAAGAGCTGATGCAAACCTCTCAGAGGACCTCAGACGACAACAACCCTAAACCAACATACAAAACTACCAAATTTTGCTATAAGTTTTATCGCAACATATAATCATTACTGTTAATAGTGTTCACCGTCTGTTTAAATACATGACATTAACTAACTGCTTGATTTTTACCGTACATTTCTGCCATATGGACATCAACTTGAGATATTCACCACTGATAAGCTATTACTAAATATAATGTAGAAACTTTAGTTTTCTGTAAAGCTGCTTTGCAATGATTTGCATCGTGAAAAGCGCTATACAAATAAACTTGAATTGAATTAAAATAAAATACAGTAAAATTAAAATTTATAATGGCCAATAAAAATATTAATAATACCAATAAAAAAAATATATATATATTATTGTACTATTATTATTATTTATTTATATTTTACTTCAAACTAACTTTTAAGCTACACATTTCTCACTACATGAGTGAAGATCAGATAACTAATTATCAGCTTAACTGTATTTTTTTTAATAGGAAATTTATACAAAGTTTTGTCATGAAACTCTAGATGGCACAGTCCAATTGGTTCTAACTCAATCTCATATAATCACATCATTATTCACATGGCGTAGCTGATTGGTTTCTTTTCACATCAGCAGCCAATGAGCTTGCTGCTCAACATTCAAAAACTCGGCCATTGCTTCTTGTAGCAGTTGCAGCACGCTTCAGAAACCCTCCACCTTCCCCAGCTCCACCTGTATAGATCTGCTACAGGGTGATTGCATGTATGTTATATATGTTTTTTTTTCATATATGTTTACATGCTTACATGCTCACAGCAGCATGTCTGTGGATATTCTGGCAGTAGCAAGTCTCGGTACTTGCTCTGCCGCAGCAGCAGCGTAGCAGATCTGTTCCACCAGGACCAAAGACATTAACTCTGTCATGTACATTACCATGTTAAACTCTCCGAGAGTTGTCATGACAGAAGTGATTTTAGAGGTGACTTTAAAAGTTTAATGTAACTCACTTATTCTGCACCAATATGTAACACTATATGAAACACCGGAGTGCAGTAGGGAAGCACACTGTATGCTTGTAAAGTTGGCACATCATCTTGCACATTCCAGCTGTAAGGAATTCCGCAGCGTCAAATGATTCAGCTGTGCTGTGTAATACTCTCTGAAGTGTGGGGTTTACCTCATTGGAGTCGATACCGTTGTTGACAGAACAGGTGGTCTGGAAGTACTCCAGCATGCGCTGTTTGAGGCTCTGGGGCAGGTGGTGCACACGGATGAAATCCTTCAGGTCTTTAGTGCGTGTGTGGTAAGAGGACCAGCGTGAGTACATGCGTTGGATGATGGCCGTCACATTGCCAAAGACCAGAGCGTGCATCAACGCTGCCAAAGAAACAATGACACACATGCATGAATGTACATGAGTCCTGAATGACCTAACAAGTCATGGTGTTTTCTCTTGAAAGTTGAACATTAATGTAATTTCAAAATCGTCAACATGACTTTTTTACATGCAGCTTGCAAAAAAATAATAAATGTCTACTGTCCCTGACAAATAGCATTAAAAAATTAAGCTTGAAAATGTTTACAAAAATGTTTTTAAAAATCATTTTTGTTATTGAATGCTGTAAATGATATAGTCATCAGTTAAGAAAAGAGTCATCAATCATAACTGACAAATCACATTATGGAACCTTTCTATTTCTGTAACAATCCAACATGTGTATTTATTTTAGAGGCATTTGCTCTCTGTAAGATCTCTGGTAACACACAGGTGGTGATTGAATGTGTACATACGTGTTGGGGTGCATAACTGGGAATTATTGTATGTTTGGGAAGGGAGCTGAACTACCCCATGGCGAAGGGTGACATTTCACAAAATAAAGGCCATGAATTCTGAATGTGAACAGATGGTGTGACTTCATATCATCCTATTTAATATGTATATTTATATATCCTATTTATTTATTTATTTATTTATTTATTTATATATATATATATATATTTATATTTATATTTATCACCACAGCAGCTTAAGCAGCAAACTTTGCAAAACACAACATTTATGTCACTGCGAAAACTTTTGGCCATGACTGTATATATATATATATATATATATATATATATATATACATATATATATGCAGTATATATATTTATTTATGATGTGATGTTTTTGAGAATATATATGTATATATAAACATATGTAATACAAATATCTACAACAGACCTTTTTTTTCTTGTACAAACTAAAAGTGATTCAACCTTGTTTTTGGTTTCTAAATAAGCAGCAGACACATACAGCCTCCAGTTTTTGGATCCTAATGATAATCCAAATTTGTTCTACCTCCAAATATATCTAAAAATATCTCCTAAACTTCAACCTTTCAGCAAACACACACACCTCCGATGAGCATGGTGCAGATGGAGAAGATCTTCTCTGCGTCTGTGTTGGCAGAGACATTTCCGAAGCCCACGCTGGTCAGGCTGCTGAGGGTGAAGTACAGCGCTGCGATGTAGATGCTCCGAAGAGACGGTCCGCTGCTCAGCGTTCTGTTGACCACTTCCATGCTCACCCCCTCGTATGGAGACTCCAACCGCTTGCTGAGCTCATGCAGCCAACCTGAGAGAGCGAGACAAAGAATAAAGAGTGAGATGTAATTAAAAATCTCACACTGAAATGTGCTTGTGTATCGGATTCATATGTGTCCATATGGTGGAAAATTAGCATGCACTGCAATGGCACATCGGTTAAAGGAACTGTTCATATAAAAATTGTATTTCTGTGATTATTTACTCAACTGTATGACTTTCTTTCTTTTGTGGAAGATAAAAATAGCTTTTTTTTTTAAAGCGGCAAATAAGCACCACAAAAGTGCCATTAAAGTAGTCCATACAACTTGCGTTTTATTTTCTAAGACATATGACAGCTTTGAATAAGGAACAGACTGAAATTTAAGGCATTATTGACAGTTTTCACCTCCAGTGGGCTGTTAACATCTGCAACAGGATCATAGAGATACTTTTCAAAAAATATAACCTTTCCGCAAATTTTATTGGTTAAGATTTGGTTAAGGTTTTGGGGCATGTGTTAAAATTAATCAAATTTTACTAATTAAATATTTTAAACAAAAATGTTATATAACATTTTACATGCACTATCGTTAAAAAGTTTGGGGTTAGTAAGATTTTTTTTTTATGAAAAATGCATTAAAGGATGCATTAAATTGACCAGAAGTGACTGGGAAGACATTTATAATGTTAGCAAAGATTTCTATTTCATATAAATGCTGTTCTTTTGAAATTCCGATTCATCAATGAATCCTCAAAAAAGTATCACAGTTTACAGAAAAACATTAAGCACCACAACTGTTTTTCACACTAAAATGAATAGGAAATGTTTCTTGAGCACCAAATCAGCATATTAGAATGATTTTTGAAGGATCATGTGACACTGAAGACTGGAGTAATGACTGCTAAAAATACAGCTTTGCTATCGCATGAATAAACTACATTTTAAAATATATTAATATAGAAAACAGTCATTTTAAATTCTAATAATAGTTATCTATATTATTTTTATTTACTGTATTTTTGAAATATTAAATGCAGCCTTTGTGAGCATGAGAGACTTTTGAACAGTAGTTTGTCTTTTTTGTGAATTTGGAAAGTAAGTTAAATAAAAGTACCTACATTTATTTAACATAAATTTAAATAGTTTTAGAGATGCCAATTTATTTAGCAATCATAAAAGCAATTGATTGTTTTACCTTTTTAAATTAAATTACTATACTATTATTTTATTATACTATTCTGACCCAAGTTTCAATACCAAAACATAACAGTTGTTCACAGAACTGTATTAACAAAAAAAGTACTATGTAAACTGTAAACACCATGAATAACATACATTCTACACCATAGTATTTCAATCAGATACATTGATGTAACATGGTACTATCAAATTTGTAAATTTTTGCATGGACACATTTTGTACAAGAACTGGTTTTGTGAAAAGCGAAAGGAACATTTTGTGATCCCCAAACAGTTCTTCACTAACAGTCTCCAATTGTTTGGAAAGCAGTTCACACATCGCTTTCTTCATGAAACAATCCTTGTGTTTGATGACAAGGAGGGACCCATTAGTTGCCACACTGTAAAACAGGGTACCAGAGAGGAGATTCCAGCCCAGTGTTGCTATAGTAACTGCCCATCAGAGCAGGCCGGGGGTCAGTGGTCGGATGCCGAGGGAAAGCAGCAGCTTTCCATCAATACTGATCGGGGACCGGGCGGTGGGAACGCTGGTACTTTCACAGTGATCCGTCATTATGGACCAAAGAGCAGCACACTGGGCCTAATTACAGCCCCTCCTGCAGTCAAGACTGTGAGAGAGGCCTGTGGCATGATGTCTGGGTGACTGGTTTGTAGAGAAACCACTCTTTTAATCACTTGGCTGCTTGCTGTCCCTGGTGCATTCTTCCCATCTTCCTCCTTCTCCACTATCACTGTCCATAACACCATCTATCAGTGCCAGGCTTATCGCTCTTCTTCTGTAACTATAAATTCTGCTTTCCATTATCATTTGATGTCTTCATCGCAATCTCTCTGTCTTGCTCCGAACGCATCAGATTTAATCAATTCATATAATGTCCATAATGCAACTTTAACAAATCCAATCCAAGCCGAAATGAAGCATTTCAATCAGATTCAATTACACTTTATTACAGTTAAGAGACCCAGACTTACACCAAATCAATTAAAACACTGTTCAACACTGCTTCGGTTTAATAATTAAAAATGAAATGGATAGTGCATCTCAAAATGAATGTCGTTCATTTTCATGTCATTCCAAACCTGTTTGACTTTCTTTCTTCTGTGTAAACCAAAAAACAAAAACAAAGATGATTTAAAAGTCAATAGGGTCCAAAATAACTTGGACATCACTTTTATTTTATGGACTAGCTAGTTTGAAACAGGGCGTATTAATGGTAACTGGAAAAATGTGCCTGTGGCGACATTTCTGCAAAATGGTATTATGTTGCTTATCGCAATGCTTTCTAAGTAAAATGTACAGTGAGTGGCGCAAAAAGCATGTTCAGTTGTATATGAAACACATGAACGTGAATGTGGAAATGTTTTTGAATAAATCTGGAAATGCTAGATGTTGTACATATCAGAAAGGTTTGGTGAGTGGTGCTAAAAGGTTATTGCTCTATTGTGATAAAAATAACATACCACGACAATACAACCTACCTTAAACCTAGCCGATAGTATTAACAAAAGAAAATGTAAGTTAAAAGCACATTGGCTGAAGCATCAATGCAATTTTAACTTACTTCTGCAACTCTTTGTGCTCTTTTATTTAATGTTGTGACTAGTGTTTCACAGGATACAAACCTGAGCGCAAGTGCAATGCTGTACCAGGTGAGCTACCGAGCAAGTTTACTATGTCAGAAAAGACATACTGCACATATTGAACTGGTTATGTCATGCAAAAGTGTTAGTTTACAAACCATGCACCATGATAAAAGTGTTTTGAAGTCTTAACACAGTACTGTGCAAGGAGCCGCACAGTACTATATTGGTGTTTCTGTTAGTGTTCATTTCAGCTGGAAACAGCAGTGAATCGTATGTAGGTACGTTTTTGGAGTTCTGCTGAATGCAGGTAGAAGCATATTTTTCTAATGAGCCTAAGATTGATCTCATATTCACTATCCTCCTGTCTGTGAATCAAAGAGTACAATTTGTGTGCCAGTCTCACCAATATCCCAGGTGTCTGCGTTGCTCTCCACCTCCTTCTTGCCAATGATGTACCAGATGCAGGCCATCCAGTGAGCCAGCAGTGCAAACATGGACATGAGCAGGGTCAGCACCACCGTACTGTGTTGGGAGTAGCGGTCCATCTTCTGCAGCAGACGCAGAAGTCTCAGCAGGCGTACGGTCTTTAGCAGATGGACCACTGACACCTGGCAGAGGGGAAAGGGGCACACACATTAACAGTCGAGGATTTACTCTGCATGCGAGTGCATTTGAGGGTTATGAAGGGCACATGCCTGTCATGTTAAATGAGTGCAGTAAATCCAAATCAGTTAAAACCTAATTAAACAACGCAACAGGATGGAAGTCCTTAGATTCCATCAATAAATCTTTGCTACTGTGTCGATATTGTAAACCTACAGTATAACCACAGTAAAAATCATCTTCATATAATGAAGATGTATTCACTTTTAGCAAGTGAATACAGAGAGAAAATTTACAATAAAACAGTAAACAAAAACATCTCCTAGCAGATGTTTAGAGGTCACGGATGTCTTGAATAATGGTGTAGCATGCAGGTACGAAAGCTCTGAGACAACTGGGATTAAAATATTTAAGAGATCATCATTAGACTGAGAGACATTTGGGCCAATTATAGTGGTATAAAACATCTTTTCTCTCCTCTTCTCTCCGTCTCAGTCATGCAGAACCGCATTTTCTCAGGTGAAAGGAAATAAACCACCCACTAATAAACAAGACAATAAACCACAAGAAATTGACTGCAGTTGAGGGATATGAACATACAAACAACTGAGAACAAATCAGGCTGCATAAGTATGTGTGTTTTTCAGTGTAACAATCATTATCTTCTTCTCTGGAGGTCTGTGCTCTCCGTCACTGTCATACTGGCAGAGGACAGTCAAATGTATAATTCAGGGTATAAAACTGACATAAATAAAACAGATACCAGCCAAAACATTCGATGGTTTAATTTTAATTCTAAAAACAGCAGTCTGACAGCTGATGATGTAAATGATGCAAGCAATTCAGATACATACAAACTCTTTACATATATCAAGACAATGTTTACGTCAGTACAATATTTACCATCAGAGGTTTATTTAGGATGTTTTTTTCTCCTAGAATTCAATGCAGCGACACCAAAATGAAAATATTTGGAACAAAATCACGTCTTCACGTTTCTGTGAGTGCTGCATAAAGTTAATGGCTCTAACATATGACAGAATTTGTCACAAAGCAGGAAAAAAATATCCCATTTTTATATGGACAAAACATTTTTGTAAAGATAATGTAAAATTCATGATCAGTAAAAAAATACATTGTTTACTTTACATTACTATACTAATATTAATGACTAAAACAACAATAACAATAATGACATGCAAGTACTAGGAACTAAATTTATTCAGTACTGTAATGTAGCTCATCAGTATTTCTCATTCATTTCTCAGTAAATTCACAGAAACATGAAAACTGTAAAACCAAAATAATGGGCAAAAAGTTAATGTTAGACCCTGCAGACATGTTATTCTATATATTCAGCAAGATGGTCACAAAAATGTCCTTTATGTGTAATGTTTTATGTATTAAAGCAGGTTTAAAGCGAATGAGCAAGTGAGAGAGTTTTAAATAGCCCATATCCATAACTACATATTCATTATGACTACATACAAAAAAATAACACTTTTTATTAACCTGAACATGAACTTTCACACATGCAAACTACCAGGTCAGTAACAGATGTGCACACACTGCTATTAGATCAGTTTGTCTAGAGCTTCAGGTGGTAACTAGTTGGCAATATTCATCACAGCCTCTCTTATTATAATCAGACAGACAATCCCTGTGAGAGCCAAGCCTTTCATGTCCCTGCAGCATTAAATAATAATCCACGTTGTAATGGCCACAGTCTTTCACTTGACAATCAAATATTAATAAACATCAGGAGATCATGGTCTCAGAAGTAAAACCAATGAACATTAATGTCATTGAGAAACAAAAAGGATGAACTTAACAGCTGGTTGAAAATTAGATAAGGAGGGTGAAAATGGAGGTGGATAGGGTAAAGCCACGGCAGGGGTTCATATACTGAGCTTTATGTGCTAATGTGTCAATGTGTATTACCAACTAATGCACTCATACTGCTCACAATGTGTAGGTGGCTGAAGAGGGAAAGGGTAATGACAGAGAGTTAAAGGAAAAAAAGGAAAAGGAGAGGAAAGGATAAAGAGTGGAAAGAAAAAAAGAAAGGAAAGAAAAGTAGAGGAAAGGAAAGGAAAAGGAAAAGGAATTGGCCAGGATAGAAAAAGGAAAATTAAAGAGGAAGAAAGGAGTGTAAAGAAAAATGAAAAGGAAAAGAATGTAAATTGGGCAAGGATAGGAGAGTGAAAGAAGAGGATAAAAAGGAAAAGGAATGGAAATTGGTCATGCTATGAAAAGGAAAAGAAAAAAGAGGATAGAAGAGGAAACAGAATGGAAATGAATTAGCCATGACAGGAAAAGGAAATGGAAATAAGAGGAAAGGAGAGGAATAAAATAAATAAATAATCAAAGAGGAAAGGAAAGGAAAGGAAAGGGGAAAGGAACAGGAATCAAACAAGAAAAGGAAATCGGCAGAGGTGTAAAGAGTACCTAAAACCCATACTTGAGTAAAAGTACAGATACCTTACAGTGAAAATTACTCCACTACACGTTACAACGGCCTCTGAATGTGCTGGATGTGCTGCAGTCATGTCCTCATCTCATATAGAAAACACCTCTGATTCACAAATACTTGCTAAGGAACTCGAATTCACATAAAGTAGCCTTGTTGAAAAGTTTGGGGGAGTAAGGGCAAAACGCACAAGATGCAGTACTTTCAGTCACCTGTAATAGGCAGTATCACATATTTTGTAGCAGAGATAAACTTGCGGAAAAGCTAGGTCCATGCAAAATGTAATGTGTAACTGCAACACTCATTTCAAATGTAGTGGAGAAAAGAGTACAGATACTCATTCAAAAATGTAGTGAAGTAAAGAGTAAAAGTTGCTAATATCTTTGATACTCAGTACAACTACAAAGTACCCGAAAAGATACTCAAGTACAGTAACTAATTACATTTACTCCAATACTTTACACCTCTGGAAATCGGAGAGTAGAACAGAGGAGAGTAAATAAAAGAAATATCATTATTTTCTTCGGTTTTGTTTTGGTGGACTTGTGTGTGTGTGTGTGTGTGTATAGTGCAGCTGAAGGGCAGATGTGAAGGGATACCAGAGGAGCAGAGGTGCAGTCTGTAATTGGAGCAGATTTAAGGGAACATCTCAGAGACAACAAGGTCTGTATTACAGTAGCACTCAAGTACAGTCCACTGCATTTCACTCTCCCTCTCTTAATAAGCCTCAGTGGATTTCAAGTGCTCTTTCATTGTTTCACTGTACAGAGGGATGCAGGGTTTCATTACTGCATGTGTCATCACTGTAAGTGTGTGTGTCCAAGTGGCACTGATCGATTCCGCCAGTCTGGATTGGCCAGAAAAGCTGACTGTCTTTTTCTGTGAATTAAAACCAGGAGCCTGTGACTCTTGCTTTAGTAGAGGAGTCGGCAGAGGCAGTGTCAGCCAATTTCAGAGCCTGTTATACATCTTTATTTGTACCTGAACCCAGCATCACTCATTAAAAGTTCTACATCCATGATGTCATCAAAAGGACTTCACGGTCCACCCAATCAGGGTCACTCAGCTGCTCCTAAAAATGTTGTTTTACACTTAAGGAAGTGCAAAACAAATCACTGCACTAAACACAGTGCTGGAGGGGCTAAAAAAAGAAATATCAGAAAGTCTAAAACTGGGCATGACTGTTCAAACAGGCCCAGGTGGAAATATTTTGCATTTTCTACTGTTAACTGGAGGAAGCTCTTCTACAGTAAATGGATTTCAACATAGTCAAATGCACTGAAAGTACCTTACTTTTATACATTTACATATTTGGCAGATGCTTTTATTTAAAGCGACTTACATACATCAGTTCATGCATTCCTGAAATTCATGACCTAGTGTTTTTGCTACAGAAACGCTCTTTCTTGCAAGTACAAGATGCTTTCACAGCATTGCATTTAGGAAGAAGTTAGGCTACTGGTCCCACTTTATATTAAGTGTCCCTAATACCTGTTTACTTACATAGTAACTAGATGTGTACGTATTATGTAACCACAGTGTAAGTACACATTGGTACATACTAGTATCTACAGCTGTAATATTTCTGTAACTACACATATGTAACAACCCTCAGGATGGTTTGTGTAAGAAGTACACAGGTATTAGGGACACTTAATATAAAGTGGGACCAACTACTTTACAGTACCAATGTTTTAACCACAATAATCAATTAAGAAATTTTTTTTTTTTTAACCATAACATGATTTAAAGATTACATAACGGATTACCAAAACTGATCATTTAGCAAATTGCACCTTTCAAAAGAAACTTGGTTGCAAATACGTCTTAATTCCATATAACCAATAAAACACTCTGTAAATGTTGCAAAAAATATGTAAAAACAAACAAAAAACATGTTTTTGTACATTAGTATTTGGTTTATTTTATTTTCCTTTAGTGGCTGACACTGGGTATTTTTTGGCTGATGTTTTATATATATAATTTTTCATGCAAATTTTTCCTATTTTTAATTTAGATAAAAGTGTTAGAGGGCAACAAAAGCGATCTTAAAAAACAAGAATAATTTAATAACACCTGTAATGTAATTTTTCAGAATCGTTCAGATTTCATCATACGTTATAATGTTGTGATGCTTATATACACTTGTGTCAACAAACAGAAGAGGATAACACCGGTAAGTACAGTTCAACAGAGTTTATTGCAAAAAAGCGATGATCACAGGTACGGATGTTCTTGGAGAGTACAGAGCATAGCTGAGCAGATGACTGAAGATGAACCGGTAAGAAGATCAGATAAGGGGCCAGGGAGGTTGATGCACACATGTGAACAACAAGACCAGACACTGAGGAAGGGATGTGATGGTGGCTTTATACCGGGCTTGATTGGTGTTATTGATATAAAGAAAAAAAATTCACAAGCATAGTTGTGCTAGGTTGGTTACTGAAAGAAGTTGTGCTAGGTTGGTTACTGTTAGTTATTTACTAAAAATGCAAGTGATGGGGTGTGTACATGTTTCAAGTTTTCTGCAGGCACAGATTCTGTGTGGATCTGTTTTTTCTGCAAAATCATGTAAATGTAATCCCAAATGCATTTGAAAGCTGTGAAAACAAGTTCCCACAGATTTTTTCCCTGATACATTCATTACATATTTTTTAATATGTGCATTACTCACCACGCTGACTTTAAAGGCGTAAAGGAGATCAAAGGGCAGAGCGGCAACCAGGTCGATGATGAACCAGGTGGTCATGTAATGGATGCAGATCTGCCGCGCATCGAAGATCACCTGCCCCGACTTACTCACGTACGTAGTACGGAAACTGAACACGATGTCTGGCCAAGCAACAGAGAGAGTAGAGTCAGCGTCTTCACAAAATACTCCATCAGCATAATCTCAACGAACGACAGTGTGTATATTGAACCATTTATAACAGCAAAAATGCTTTTCTGCCAGCTATATATCAAGTGGGTTGTTATTGCAGACTAACAATAGGAAAATGAAAAATTAATGCGCTGTCACCAAATCTGAACACCAGGCATTCTAAATAGAGGCATTATCAGGGTCACAAAGCCAAAGCAAAGTTCAGGAGCAATGTTAAAATATATATGTATTATAGGTCATCCTGCTATTTTATTACACTCAAATGAAATCAATAACACACATGTTTCATTCATATTTAAATCATATGGGATCCTTTATTTTTAAAATGTGAACAATCTATCAACAAAAACATCCATTTAAGCTAATCTTAACAAAGATGCAGGAAAAATAAATAGTGCAATTTGAGGAGCACAGCATGTGTGCTTCTTGAAAGAGTTCAGGTAAAACAGTCATAGAGAGAAACTAAAATGTCAAATGTCTTACAAAAAGAATACTGTTTGTTTCTGTAAAAATTGACCTTTTAATTCCTAGAATGCAATAAATTTTTTTCTGAATGGAAGGACACTGAAGGAGAAAGATGTTGCCTTGTGGCAACGCTGTACCACAGAGGGTTAATGGAAGATGTCAGAGCCTGAAACTGATTTAAAGACCTGCTTACAATCATGTGTAAAGACACACATGTGACAGAACAAAGATAACGTCGTAAATCATAATCAGGCTCACAATGAAAAACATAGTATGTAATTGACCAATTAAATATAATGTCAAAGATCAAAATTGGATTCTCTTACCAATGATGAAAAGAATCTCGACGGCAATGTCAGTGACAGTGGTGCTACGTGTCAAGTCTTGATCCCCAATAAAACAAACGTTATACGGCACTGTCACAGCGACATAGAATGTAGCCAGAAGGATCAGCCAATCCCAGCCCGCTTTGAAGGTGCTGAAGTGAAGAAGAATGAACTTGGACTTCTTGGCATCAGCGACTTTATATTCAGGAAGAGCGGGTGGATCACCAAAAACATTCTATAAAGAGGGAGGACAATTATGGTGAAGTCACTGGTTCTGTTTTGTCTTTCAGTTTCTGTATTATGTCCTCAGTATTTGAACGGTCTCACCTTGTTAAGTTTGATTTTATTTTGTTTTTGACGGTTATGCAGGTGTCCTGAAATATGGTAGAGAACTGTGCTAGATCGCAGCCGTGTGGAGCCGAACGGAGGAGACCCGGCCTTCACCTTCTCACGGCGGCACTCTGAGGAAAGGTTGGACTGTTGTTACGAAAGTCAAGGGCAATGTGGGATACAATTCATCAAGAAACAAAAACACACTGCACAAAATAAATTCCATTCATTCGTAAAGACACCAACACCAGAGGACACAGCAGGCAAATCCCTGTGGTACTGAGGTTGTTATATATCATGTTTTTGCATTTCTTTTTACTTTTTACTTATTTTAAAAGAAAATAAGCAAAATTAATAAAATAAAAACATAAATAAAATAAAATACCACCTAAACAACTCAACCTTTGTAGCATTACAGTGACCAGAGCTGGTTTTGGTAAAGTACTCGAAATAACAAAAAAAAGACATGGTCAAGTAACTAATAAAACATATAAACCATCATATTCTAACATCTTGAATTCCTGCTCCAAAAATGTTATATACCCACAAAAAAATAATTGCATCGGTGAATGAAAGTGTATAATTCAGAGTGTTTTTTTTTGTTGTTGCTTTGTGAAGAAAAATATTTTTCATCAATACTTCCATGTATCGAGGGCGGTTTTAGTCAAAGTGGCCTGTTTTTCTTCTGCCCTCCATGCTGCTGTTACACAAAAGCTGATGTGAAACAAGAATAACTTCCTTTCTGCTCGTGACCTACTTTACACCAGTGGTTTCCGCCAGTTGGGGCTCTGCTGGCAGAATGTTTTCACTCCCATATTGAACACATTTGTTTCAACTGATCAAGTGACTGCTAAATACTGAAGTAGGTTCATTTGATTTACTCTTTGAATGTCTTGAACTAAACCAGTAAGTCAAAGGGACACCCTACACTGGAAATGAAAGTCCACATGAAATGGTTTGACAAATTCAGGTTCCTTTCCTGTGTTGATGCATTTCCTACTGAAGCACAGAAGTATTATAGTGTAGATTGTTTTATAAAGCCAAACCACATCTGAAAATCCAAAACTTTGCTGCTGAAAATAACAAAACACACACACACACACACACACACAAAACAACAACACTATTACTACAACATGAACAACCAAACCTTCAATCTGAAACCCTGAAACTTTGCTGCTAAATTGCTGAAAATAAAATAAAATTTGCTGAAATCAGCTCTAACAAAAACGTCGCTGAAAATATGACGAGCTCAATGAACAATACTTCATTCTCCACTGAAAACACTTTGGAGAAAATAAGAATGAATCCTTGTTTACATTTGCATTATTTTTCTTTTCCATTCAACATACAGTTAGTTCTGTGTTAGTTCTTGTTGGTAGCAAAAATAAAAATGAAACAGTCAAAAAGTGTCAACAGAAGTATTGTAGTGCAATGGATACACTGTTAGAGACAGAGACAAAAACATATGAAATGTGTGGAGTCTCTGTGTGGATATTGACCAGTAGTGTGTGTGTGTGTGTGTGTGTGTGTGTGTACAAATGTGTAGCATTTTTAAATCAGCCAGTTGAAGAAACAAGCAGACAGCCAGGCTGCCAGTCTCAATTGCCAAGGGCAACAGGGGAAAAATGTCACTCATTGCAACCCTGCCGAACAAGGTACCAAGGGAAACCAAATCAGGAGTAGGAAAAGGACTGAAGGGATGGAGCGATAGACAGAGAAAGAAACATGGATTGAGAAAGAGAGAGAGATGAAGGGCTAGGAAGTGAGAGAGTAAGCTGGGAAGCTGGTTATTAGAGAGGGATAGAGATCACTTCAGCCTGCAGGGCTGGAGGAGGAGAGGGGCGACAGAAACTCATCCATAAAAGGGTGCAGTCAGCAGGGAGACCAGCGGCATAACACTTATTATAGATCCTAATAAATGTACTCCCAATTTACTAGCAGCATAGGTCACGTGAAACACAGAGGAGGAGGGAGAGAGAAAAAGGAACAAAAGGCAAAAGTGTGAAAAGAAAAAAAAGACGAGGACAGACACAGTTGCACTGGGATTCCCTGCTCCACAGTTTCCTTTGGTGCTTGAGGCCAATATCTGGCTTCTCAGTCACACAATAAACAGACAGTTTTTCATCCTGCTTCACCTTAATAAGACTAGCACAAAAAAGGGATCATATGAGGGTTTTTCTTACACTATTGACACATTTGGCCCTGAGGACTTAGAAAATAAAATCCCTTAAAATATTTTTTTTTTCTTTTATTTGTCTAGTAACAACATTCAACCATGTACATGCGCTGCTCACACCAAGGCAAAAGGCAGTAACGACCACATTATATATAATATTTGGATGCTGATCACCATTTACAAAATCATTAGTAACACCTGTATAAAACCTAGTGATCACGGGCTGTCTCATATACTATAACACACAGTAATGTGACTGTATTCATTTTTTTCTGATCGTAACAACCAGACAAAACATGTGAGTGGATATCATTTTGCAACCAATTTATTTGCAGTGTTTACTAACGTTAAAAAATGCAAGACATACTTGGCCTATTGCTTTTACACCGAACTGAATGAAAATAGCCTAAACTAAACTAAAAGGACGACTTGTGTATTGATGTGAACGCCAGCAAGAAGAAATAATACTCAGAATGCTTGTGGATTAAACATCTCCGATGACGTTCTTTGCCATGAATTCTATCGGGTTACAAGAAAAGGTAGGATATGGATTTAATTGCGACTCTACTGTGTGTGATGTGCTACGTTGTCACGGCATTCGAGTCCCACACGTGTGCAGAAGTGGGCAGACCCAGTCTAACGGGCTGGCACTGAGAGAATAATCTGCATTATAAAAAAGAAAAAAAAAGTTTAAAGATTATTTACGATTAATTATTGTTGCCAAGTTATCTAGTCTTTGCTTGTTTACAGTGCTTTGTTATATGGAGCCAGTTTGGTAGATCGTGATCTACAGTGGGTACGGAAAGTATTCAGACCCCCTTAAATTTTTCACTCTTTGTTATATTGCAGCCATTTGCTAAAATCATTTAAGTTAATTTTTTTTCCTCATTAATGTACACACAGCACCCCATACTGACAGAAAAACACAGAATCGTTGACATTTTTGCAGATTTATTAAAAAAGAAAAACTAAAATTTAAGGGGGTCTGAATACTTTCCGTACCCACTGTATCTAATTCGTTTGTCTAAAAAATTGCAGACTGATGTATGAAATAACACAAGCTACACCGTAATTTAAACGCGGCAGACTTTAATTCACAGAAAAACAAAGGCAGATTACTGTATAACTCCAGGCCGGCACTGTAACTTCATACTGACGCACGGCTAAACAAAGGCAGAGTACCGTAACTCAATTTGAGCGTTCCAAAACAAAGTCAAAGAGCGGTAACTGGTAATATACGGTTTTCTGCCTTGGTTTCTCCTGGGCTTTTCGAAGTTACTGTTAAGATAACCCAGTATTTTCTACAAAAATAAAAAAATGGACTCAAGATACTTATCCACATGATAAAGGAGGTCTTGAATGTCCCAAAAATATCAATAACTCATTTTCGACCAAATACGAAGTTACAGTCTTTTGCCTTTGCATGGCAGTATGGTACACCACTCTTTCTATGGTAACCAAGTACATTAACTTTTGATAAAATATTATTAGTGAAAAATTAGTGTGGGTTGTGATGGAAATGTCACCACATGTCAACGTCATAATTTCTGCAAAATTTTGGCTATTATTTTTTCCATAATAAACAATAAAATGATTTATGTTTATTTCTCTCTTTGTTTAGGTTTTCCTATTTTTTTTATTGATTAATAATTTATATTTAATAGTAAAAAAATAATGAATATTTTTATGACACGTTTTCATATTTTTAGATTTAAAGTCTGGGTCTGGTACATGTTTAAAACAAAAATAAATGATGAAGTCACAGTAAAAAAAAAAAAAAAAAAGTTGATTTAATAAAAATCAACCCCTAGGACATTACGGCCCAATCCCAATTCTTAGCCCTTCCCCTTTCCCCTACCCCTCCGTTTCGCGCGTTCACGTGAAGGGGTAGGAGTGTCTCAATTCTCTTTTGGTTGGAGGGGTAGGGGTAGGGGAAAGGCCAGACAGCCCTTCAAAGAAGATTTTTCGGGACCACACTTCAAACGAAGGGGTATGAATTATCTCACCGTAAACCGGCTTCAGGGGCAACATGGCTGCCCGAGCGAACAAGACACATAAATGTAAGCATTTTTGGCATTAATAAAGATTTTAACGAAAAGTAATCAGTTGTTTTATGTTACATTCAATCATGAGTTCATATTTACGGTCATGTTACTCAAAGAAATGTTTGCAAAAAATCGCTAATATTTGGGAAGGGGTAGGCGGAGGGGTAGGGGAAGGGGAAGGGGTATAAAATAGAATTGGGATTGGGCCTAAATTGGACCTAGTGGAAGAGACATCTATGAATATTATTTCAGAGAAAAAAAATCATGAATATCTTGTCATCCAGAAAATTCATGTACACACACATACACCATCCACCCCAGTCAAGTCAAGTCACCTTTATTAATATAGCTCTTTATACAATACAGATTGTGTCAAAGCAGCTTTACAGTATTAAACATACTAACCTTCTTTCTTCTCCTCAAGTACAGATTTGGCTTTAGTGTCAGTAACGTCTTTAAAAGAAGCGAGGAAGAGGACCACATCTCCTTTCTCATTCTTGATAGGCACAATATCCAGCAGACACCAGAACACACTACCTGCAGTAGAATTGAGAGGCAAGATATATAAACACACACAAATATGCAGTCTTATACACGTTTGCAAGAGGACATTCACACTGTAAAACGTGACAATGAAGGGCAAGTTCTCTGCCCTTTTTAATTGGATATTCTGTGTCACTTCTTATGTTACATTATAGAAGTAAAATGAGTTGCAATTCACACTGACTTTAAATAGAATTTCTGCACTGAATAAAACTAGTTAATTTAGTTGTTACCACAGGAAGCACATTTTTAGCTTACTTGGCAAAACATTACTTCCAGTCTATTTAAAGTGTTATAAAACCTGAAACAAAACAAGACCAGCACATCCAAAAAGAGCAGCACCATTATGGTATCCAATTCCCACGTAGGTGTGTGCGTGAATGCTTGTTTGTCTGTGTGTTTTGAGTGGTGTGGGTGTATGTGTGCGACAGGGCATTTATATGTGTGCTTAGCAATGTGTGTGTGTGTGTGTCTGTCTGTGTGTTTCTCTCTCCACCAGTAGCCGTTACTGGAAGCCTCTGGGGGAATTCCGTCTGATTGCTCACAGCTGGAGAAGTCTTTGTCAAATCTCTCATTTCCTCATGAAAAAGCCTCACCATTATGGAGAAGAAAAAGGGGATGAAATAATAACGCTCTCTAGAACAAGTGTGCTGGAGATGTTCCATTCAATATAGAACAAAGGGGGAGAGGAGAATCAGCACATGGAAAAGGTACAGGGAGGTGTTAAAATGCCACAGCATCATTTGAAGACCTTGGCAAACCGAATACAAATATTATTAAAATATAATATAATATATAATAATATGCAAGAATAATAAATTATACAAATATTATCATTGCTACTATCTAATGCCCTTTGTATACAGTACACTTACAGACATGTATTGTGGTGGTATTTATAAACCATGATGTGTACATAGTACTTAAATATTCTTCAATGAACACTATGGCACCACTATGCTACCTGCTCAAAAAACTGTAATTACTTTTTTAGTAATTAATCCAGTGAAAGAAGAAGGATTTCTATTTTGATTAATCTCCAATCTCAAAATGTAACATTTCAGAGCCCCTTGAATAGAAGAATAAAGTGCAAAAGGGAGTGAGATATACTATATTAAGGGAAATTACAGGATGGGTTGACAGGATGGTTTAGTATGAATCTTTCTCAGTGTCGTCGTAAATTCCACAAATAAACTTGCACACCTGCTGGACTTTAGTTTGTAATCCGACTTTAGAGTCTCTCTGGTGCTTTTGGCCAACCAACTCTAATAAAACCATCTGCTTCTAACAATGGCTAGAGATTTCACTTTGTTAAGGTGTGTTGTAATACCTCCATGTGCTATTACTAGTGATGGATCACACAACTTTCCATGTATTATTACTGGTCTCCTTTTAACTGCTGCTAATAGCTTTACAGTGATGGCAAAATACCCAAGATCACTGCAAATGAAACTCAACCTGCCTAAGTCAGACACTAAACATCTAGCATTTGCCAAAATGCATTACGTTGAGTGTATTTACATGTACAACAAGTTTTGCAGCAACACCACCAAGCAAAATGCATTATCCAATATTTTTTTCTTCTCACCAATCTTTTTGTAGAACATTATCTCCTCCTTGAACTCGCTACGTTCCTCGAATGCAGAGTCCACGTGAAGAATGATGTGCTCGCTAGTCTCTGGCCCATACAGAAATTTGCATGAGCAGCTCTGCTGCATGACCTCGGTTCGGGCAAATCCAGTAAGCTCACAGAATCCATCCGAGCAGTACACGATCGGGAAGCCTTTGGACACTTGTGCATTGGCCAGGATGAAGTTGCTGTCTAGTAGAAACACAAACATCAAGCAAAAATTTTAGCCTAATAATGTTTATTGTTACTGGTTATTCCTTATTAAATTTTAACAAGATGCTCCCATAGGATTTTAGTTTGCCGTTTTGCCACATAAATGTCTTGTTATCAGCAAGGGGACAAATCAGGTGCAAAGATGCCTTGCTATGTTCACTATACCACAGTTTTCACCTCCTGTTAAAGGGGTCATATGACGTTGCTAAAAATAACATTATTTTGTGTATTTGGTGTAATGAAATGTGTTTATGCGGTTTAAGGTTCGAAACACATTATTTTCCACATACTGTACATTATTGCTTCTCCTCTATGCCCCGCCTTTCTGAAACGTGTCGATTTTTACAAAGCTCATCGGTCTGAAAAGCGAGGTGTGCTCTGATTGGCCAGCTATCCAGTGCGTTGTGATTGGCCGAATACCTCAAGCGTGTGACGGAAATGTTACGCTCCTTACCATACTGTGATGCTGTCTCCCGGAGCGACGAGACAAAACCAATAAAACCCATTACAAACAAGGCATTTGTTGCATCCAGTGGGGACATAATTACTGATTATAATGACTTATACTGTCTTTTTACGTGTTGCGTTGCATATCACGCCGCGCAAACATAAAACCATGTTTGCATTTGTGACCGGAGAAAGGACAAACAACAAGCGCTACTCTACACTGCTCAAAATTCACATTTGATTAGTCAGTGGCAAATTCTTTAAATATAAAAACGTACTTACAGGCTGTGAGTCAGAAACGCCAGACTGTCTTTGCAAAGTTGGAATTGCCTCACTTTATAGAAACAGCCTTGTAGGCTACTCTCCCATGAAATAGTCCTCCATAAAATGCGCTGCACACACTCAAATATTTGCGTTGCACTGTTCTGGAACAGTCTTGTAAATACAACTTAACCACTGATTTCTAGTTGTGTCCTATTTTGGAAGGCCAAAGTAGTTTCGCTTTCACAACGAAACACACAGCGTCTCCACGATATGGCGGTGGCGGTAACAATACTACAGCAAGAATCAAAGTTACCTATTTCTTTGCATGAACATTTGGGTGGCATTATGCAAATCTTCCCACACAGTGACGTAGACGTGGTGGCGTGTTTAAACGAGGCGTTTTAGGAGGGCGTGGACAAGTCTTAACTTTTATAAAGAATATCTCTTTGGGTTTGAGACTTTAGTCTTTGCAACTTTAGGGATCTTATCTATTCACGAACAGCTTGTAACACTCCAAAGAGAAATGTAAACTTGAAATCGCATCATATGACCCCTTTAACTTTTACCTTTAATCTCTTGAAACAGAAATTCAAGTGAAACTGAAGTTGATGCAGCTTGGTTGAGCAATCTGAGCATAAACAACTGAATGCTTGAAATTGATGCTGATTATACAAAAATGCGTCTGTCCATCAATTTCCATAACCCCCGTAATGGCAAAGCTGAATTTTCAGGAGCTATTATTCAGCCATTACAGTCTTCAGTGTCACATAATTCAGCAGAAATTATTCTAATACTGATTTGATCTAACACTGATCAAAAAGTTGAGTAAATAAGCTTTAGTTGATCTGTTTAGTTGTAATGCTTGAATATGCTTTTCAGTAAACTCATGTAATTGGTTAATTCAGTTTTATGTTTTATGAACTATTAAAGGCTTCACTGGACCATATGTTTTTGTCTTAAGCATTGCAAGTCACATGACCTTGCATGACATGTCTTAGAAAGCTTCAACTGCTCTTCATGTGAAAGGCTTTGTTTTGATTTCATTACATAACCAATTTCCTGCCTGGATAATTTTTTTGCATTCTATCTTAGTGCTGAGCGGTATACCGGTTCATACCGAATACCGGTGTTTATTTTTGCTATGATATGAATTTTTAAAATACCGCAATACCGGTGTATGTCGCTTAAACAACGTTCAGAACGCGACACTGTTTGAAAGGGGTCCCTTTTCACTGTTGCACTGTGGTGAGGGAACAGCTGTATGTGTTACTAAGCGTGAAAGTTCCGAAACTGAAGCTGTAGAACTAATAGAACGTGATGACACAGAAGAGCTCATCCACAATATCCACATTGACCGCCACAAACATCCACCGCCCCCTGCCAGCAGCTCCCGCGTGTCACACACACACACGAGCGCGACTTTAGCACTAGACTTAGCAACTTTCAGACCCTTTTAGTGGCTTTTTTCCATAGAATATTCATACTGACACAGACGATGCCGCGATTATAAATGAGAGTGACTCCTGGTTAACATGTATTCAAAGGGGTCTTGTTTAGTCACTATTTAGTGTGGTATTTTTTGACAATATTCACTCATCATGACAGTAAAATAGGGCATTCTAAGTCAATATACTGCAGTATTTACTCTCTCAATCAGTAGAAAATATGGTTAACACCCGGTCATGCATGAAAGAAAAAATAACGTCATGTACCATGAAACCGGTATAATTATAAACCGTGATATAAATTTTTGGTCATACCGCCCAGCACTATTCTATCTTATTTTATTGTTTTACCCTGTCATTGTGTCAAAGCAGATTAATAGCATCCACGCATCATAAATGAATACAACAACAATGCTTTGTAAATGTCTCTCGAAGGACAGCTCGCGACCCTCATCCCTGAATCCCCAGACTAACACGCACAAGCATTATTAAGCACTGCCATTTATGAGAAGAGTTCACGTGGCGAGAAGACAGACGTTTGGTGCTGAACGACTTTACTGTGACTTTTTCTGCTCACATAAGCAAAAGTAAAGTTAGACTCTCATTTATAACATTGTATGTGTTGGGAGGTCAGACCCAGAGAGATATGAGAAGAGGGACAATGAGAGAGAAATAACACCAAAAAAAGAACATTTAAATGGCATGGTAAAGAATGATGCTGAGAGAGACAGAAAGAGAGTGAGAAAGCAAAGGAAAAGGTGAAAGAATACAGAGGAGGAGAGTAAAGAAAAGAGTAACAATTCATATGTGCTGACGGGCCCCAGAAGAATGGACTGTGGAACGTTCTTTATGGATGCATATTGGCACCATATCAATCACTGACCAATATTGCTAATAATCAAGCACTAACTTAATGGGATTTTCTTAAAGGGCGCATTCTCTCTAAAGACAATTCCTCCACACACAAAAATGAAAATTCTGTCATCATTAAATCATCCACATGTTGTTCCAAACCTGTATGACTTTCTTTCTTCTGTGGAGCACAAAAGAAGATATTTTGAATAATGTTTTGGTTCCCTTTGTACAGACAAAAAATACAACTGAAGTCAATAGGAGCCAAAAATGTTTGGTTATTGTCACTAATCCGGTCCATGCACTTCCGTTCGCTCCCCACCTGAGATCACCCGCTCACTACTATGGACTCTTGCACCACACTACTGTTGCACTTCACCCGGACTACAGTTCCCATCATCCATTGCACTGATTACACACACACAGCTGAATGCACTGATTACACACACACAGCTGAATCCAATCAGACATGCTACATAAGCCATGGGCTTCCTCTCTCTCACTGCCGAGTATTGCATAGCATTTCTCGCTAGTCAGTGATAGCTACGTTATGGAGCCATTTCGTTAGCCATTGTTTATTTCCAAGTCCTAGTCTTAGGCTAGTTTTGCCTTGCCTGTTTTCCGGTCCTTTGACTATTGCTCGTATTTATAGATTACCCCTTTTGTCAAGCCCTCTGGATTACGTTCGCCGATCGATGACCCACGCCTCCCCTATGGATCCGCACGTCTCACGTCTCTGTCGCTCCGTAACAGATATCAACATTCTTAAAAATGTTTATTTGTGTTCAGCAGAAGAAAGTCATACAGGTTTGGAATGGTATGTGGGTGAGTTGTAACAATAACAATAGCAAAGACACACAAGCTCACCAGTATAAAACCTCAAGTAATCAATATATTAATTTGATATGACTCTCTGAGCTCTATTTTCTATCTCTATCTACAGCATCCCAGAGATTCCACCTGTACTATTAGGAACACTAAATAAAAGCAGTATACTTTTTTTGTATGCTAAATTAAAAGTAGTCCAAATGCATAATATTGTCCATTTAATTAATTATCTGGCATAACTATAATTAATTAAAATAATTATGTCCTTATCTATATTTTTTTTAATAACAGAAATTCAATAACAGAATTAAACTGAAGATTTTTTCAATGGATCAAACCAACAATGTCAAAAAGTGATTTAAAAAAATAAACTTCCCCATCTTAATTTTAGCAAATACATTATAAGCAGACACAATTTATAACATATAACACTATTACTGCTAGTTTTTAGTCAGTTAGTTGTGTAGTTAGTTTTTTTTTTTTTAATATGTCACCACATATGTAAGAGACATGATAGAGAAACATGATATAACTTGACCAGTGACAGTCATCTAATAGGCAGTCATTGCTGTAGTTTTAACATTATTACGAGAACATAAAAGATCACAATCTCTACGATTCGCCTGAAAAGTAGATCGTATAGATGTCTTGAAGATTGATCATGGTGTAAAATCATCAGATCGCCCACCCCTAGCTACCATTATAGTATTTATTACAACTTTGAATTAATTTCTCATATTTCCTTTTTCATTTCAATTTCAGTTAAAGTTTTGTATTTTTTGTCTCTATAAACTGTATATGTGACCCTGGACCACAAAACCAGTCTTAAAGGGTTAGTTCACCCGAAAATGAAAATTAGGCTGTTTTTTACTCACCCCCGATGCATCCTAGGTGTATATGACTTTCTTCTTTCAGACGAATCCAGTTTGTACTTCTAATTAGTGATCGTTGTTTTGTTTTGATCTCTCCGCGTGCGTCACTTCTGAGCGGTGCATGCGCGAAGCTGACCTTATACGTCATTCCCCCGGAACTGCTTCCGTTTACAACAGTGAGCGCAAGCTAGATTCAAGTGATTATTACGTTTTG